GCAGTTTGCCGACCCCTGAGTCATAGCCACTCATTTTTTTTTTCCTCAACAAATACATACTGAGTGCCTATTTTCTATGGATAGCCCAGGCACAAGTGATACAGCAATGAAGACAGCAGGAAAAGGCCCTGCGCTAATGCAGCTAACATTCCAATGTGGGGCGTGGGGGGACAGAGAAAGGGGTAAATAACAAACCAGCAAACAAAAATATGTATAACACAATGTTATGGAGATAAACAAAAATAAAAAAAAACAAGAAGCTGAATACAAGGGACATACAGCAACAGGGCGTATTATTTTAGAAAGGGCCTGGGGGCAGTCTTCTCAGAGGAAGGTCCATCTGAGGCCTGAATGAGTTCAGGGGGTGAGCCCTGAGAGTGTGAAATATAATCATTTCTAGTGTAACCATTTGTTCAAGTCTCTTCCACTTCACTTCTGAGAGTGAAGACAATGTATCTTACGTATTTTTGTATCCACAATCCCTAGCACACAGAGCTTAATAGTAGATTGTTTAATGAACATTTGACCTGTGGGTGCCAATGGCTTTTCATAAAAACTCTCACCTGTGGAATGTCTCAGCCACTTTCCTCGGATTTTATAGCGCACCTCAGCTTTAGGGTTACTATCTGGAACCTTGCAGCCAATGAAACCAGTACTTTTTTCTTCTGCTGTAATAACATGCTTTGTTGATGAACCAAAATCACCAAGAACTAAAATAAATAAGTAAACAGATAAGTAAATAAATGTAAATTTGAACTCTCTTTCCCTAAGGAAGTTTAAAAACTAGAAACAACATCTGCAACACGGCCCTTTGTGGTAGCTAGTCCCAGTTCACAGGAGAGCATGATCTTTTTATCTCAGAAAGGAGTGGGGGTAGAGGGCATGGTAGAGGGCTGGAGCTAAGTCATGACACTCCTTTCCAGAAGACTACAAGAGAGAAAACTGCTCTTAAGACACTAGGAAGAACTATAAAGCATAATTGCTCACATTCTGTTGAGAGCAATGCTTTTCAATCCAGTCCCTCATCAAAACAGGCTTTCCCCTATAGATCATCATTCTGTGTGTAGCTATTCATATTGCAACACAATGGCTGACAGGAATGAAACCAGGACATCGAAAAACAAAGCCATATATCATTCAAATTATCTGAATAGACTGACTTAGTTCCTCTCAGTTTAAGTTTAGTACACATGGAGCCTGCATGGTAGGCTCTATTATCTCAGCATTCAGCAGCCTGCCGCTAGGAATTCAGCCCTCCGGTTGTGTGTCTTGGAGCTGTCCATGGGTCATAGCTGTACAAAAACATTTACTCTTCTCAGTTATGACAAACTCACTACTCCTGGGAAATCCAGATTTGTTCTGTAAATAGGGGTGCCCTTGCAAAGACATTTTCCATTACTGGAAGCCATCACCGTTTGAAAGGCAGATGGCTCAAACTTACTAAGAACACCATGCAGTCCAGATTTTCCCTAAATTCAATACTCCACATTCCTTTCTTTACAGTCAGTTATTATTTTCCTGTTTCTTTAGCCTGGTTTCAATTAAATAAATTAAAATCACTCAATAATCAAGGCAAATAAAACAATTAAATGTGAAAGAAAGATAAAGAATTGCATAAAATAACTGAGTGTTAAAGTAGACAATAGCTTTTTGTTGTTGCTCATATTAAGGACTTTTAAATACTCACAAAGAAATTCAGAATTCACATTAGAAAACTGTCCTAACTGTGAAAACAATCACCTCCATACCCTCATTAGAGATGAAGACATTCGGCTAGGCTCACAGAGGTTCAAGTACATTTCCCCAAGTTTAACACACAGCAAGGGTCAAGGCTGGGATGAGAACTCTGTGTGTCTTCCTCCAACACCCATGCTCTTCCCACTATTCTAAAGTGCAAGTACCAACAGTAATTTCAGGGAAAACCATAAACAATAGGAACAAAATTAAACTCACCTGCAGTGGATACTGTTGCAGGGCTACTCACAATTGCACCAACACTATTGTTGGCAATGCATTGGTAGTACCCCGAAAGAGAGGGATTAAAAGAAAGAATAGTCAAAGTCCCCTGATGAATCTTAATCTGTTCCAAGTTTCTATCCAATCGTTTTCCATTGTGCAGCCATGTGATATGAGCGGTCACCGGTTTAGCAGAACAATGGAGGACTACAGGGCCTCCAAGTTTCTGGACAGCAGACAGTGGCTCAGAAATAAAATAAGGTGCCAAATCTACAAGAGAACATTTCCCATGTGCCAAGGGCAGGAAGAATGGGACAGAAGAGGAAAAACAAAGGACAGTACATTAAATACATTTCATCTGAATCTATATGAGTAAATGTAATCCCAATCCCTTACTTTACCTATTGTATGTTATGGTTCTTAAGGCTTGCAAAAACTTTAGAAGGTTTTATAAGCCCATTTTTGGAAGGAAAAGGCAACCTGTTAACCTGGCACTTAACAATTAGGGTAGAATAGATGAGAATCCTTATGATATAAATCAAACAAAATACCAAAATAAATGAGAAATGGCAAACTGCTCTTTTAACAAAATAGCTCTTAAGAAATGGAAGTTAAGAATCTGAAAAAGTGGAGATGGCTTTCAAAATAAAAAGAATTCTCTCCCATATTACGAACAGGGTTTGACTTTAAGGGCAAGTTATTTTATAAATAAGGCTATGGTACGTACTTCTTCCTTTTAATATAAAATAATGTTCAACTTTTAAGAAAGCAGAAGTAGAAGGTTAGGAAGCTACACTGAACTACAAAGTCTATCCCTTTTTGTATATAAGGCTAAACAGCGTATTAATCTTACTATTTCTATTTGGTATTTGGAATAGTTTCATTTCTTATGTCTATTCCTCCAGGAACTTGGGGAAGGAAGGCTCTTGCACTTAAGTATCACAACAGAGCCCTGTCTTCCACCCAAAAAAGAGGGCAGAGGACAGGAATGTTATTAATATGGCAGAATAAAATACTTTTAAATATATATATATCAATAAATTATTGAATCTACTTTTACCGGTATTTTATCAAAAATGAAGATTATGGGACATGTCTCTCTTGACTAAACCTGAAGTTGTTGTTCAGCAAAACAAAAAGAGAAATAAAACCACTCAATTTTTCCCTTACTACATATAATATAGTTACACTGTGTTTTAACAGAGAAAATAAATAAATATTACTTAATGAATAAACATCACTGTACTTGTATATACTTATATATAGATCTTTACACAAATCTAAAATTTAAAAAAAAAATGCATGTGGGCCATGGATTAGGTTCAGGCTTATATACACATTTAACAATAAACACATTTAAGCTTTTCAGAAGCCCAAAGAGTTAGATGATAGATTAGGCAATGTCATGAGGAACCTGGGATTTGAACCAAGTTCTCACACTCCAAGCTGAGTGCTGTCACATGCTGATTCTAAAATGTCTCTTTGGTGGTATATAGTCAGCATTTTATTCCTGTTATAATTTCCAAATTCAGAAATTTGAAATGCATCCTCTTACTGAAAAAAGCACAATCAGAAAATATTTATTTTTAAGGCAACAAAAGGAATAAACGACAAGGACAATGATGAGAAGGCCTGCTCACGCCCAGGAAGCACTACTAAGCGATCCTAAATTAATCAAAGTTTTAAAATCATTCAGCTGGTCAGACAATCTTACACACATCTTTATTTTTATTTACTTATTATTTTTTTTGGTAGCTGAGCCATCCTGCCACCTGTTGGCAGCTCAGCGGCAGCTCAGCTCAGGCCATGAATCGAACCGGCGACCCTGTTGCTCAGAGCTCACACTCTTGAGTGAGCTCTTAACCAATGGAGCCACTCGGCCAGCCCTGTACACATTAGAAACCATAACTACTGGCAAAATATTGAAGTCGAAGTTCGTGTCTTACAAGACTAAGATGAGGGAAAGCTTCATCTCAAA